AAAAAAAAAAAAAAAAAAAAAAAAAAAAAAAAAAAAAAAAATTGAAAAAGGCAATTATCTATAACACAAATAGGCTTTGTACAGGTAATAGCTAATATCTGTAAAATATATATAAAAGAACATATATATATGCACTCAACTAATGATAATATGTATTCCTCTACCTAGATGAGATCAAAAGAAAAAACTCAACCCTTTCCTTAAAAACACTCATACACAAAACCTCATTAAAGTCTCTTAATGGCAGTAACTATATGTAAAATATAAGCTAGATATTAAGGAATTAAAGTTGTAGTGACTAGTTAGAAGGTTCACAAATCCCAAAGTGATCTAGCATGGAAGTTAAATAGGTATATACATGTATTGAAATTAATTCAGCTGTACTTGAAGGATTTGAGCACTTTACATACAAAGATACATAACAGCATATCTCAGTTAAATTTTTTGTTTTTTTAGAAATAGAGTTAAACAACTTCCTTCAAAAAGAAAGCCAAGTCTTATAAAGGAAAACAGTAACATTTAATTTTTGTTTAAAAACTAAATGTAGTTCAGGTCAAGCTAGATAAATACAAATGCCAGGGTAGAAATATCATGCTCATTTCCCTACTAGACTGTAAGCTTCTTAAGGAAGAGACATACAGCGAGATGCCCAGCCCTTGGAATACAGTATGCACTTCTGATAACATTAATTATAAAAACACTCAACAGATGAGGAATGGAACAGAACTTCCTCAACTTAATAAAGGGCATCTATGAAAAGCCCTACAGCTAACATCATACATAATGGTGAAAGACTGAATGCTGTCCCTCTAAGATGAAAACATGGACCAGAATGTCCATTCTTCCCATTCCTGTTCAACATTTTAAAGACAGTACAAGCCAGGGCAATTAGGCAAGAAGAGGTGGTAAAAAGGCATCAAGATTGGAAAGAAAAAAGTAAAAGTTAGAATTCTAACCACCCAGGCTTAATAAGGATAAAATCAAATTGTAGTATAAAACACTAATATTAAAAACACCAATATGAACTGACATAAAGGGTAGAGAACAATCATAACAACAACAAAATCTGTTGGTCCACATTTAATTTTGACAGAGTTTAGAAAATTCTGCTTCCAGATGATTTTTCTTATAAACTTGTATTGATATCTCCTTAAGGATAAAAGAGTGATTCTTCTTATGTGTTAAAGGGAAAATTCAAGTTAAGATGATAACTATTTATCTGAACACCTTTACAGGGTAACAGGTCTTGAGATTAATGAAAATACATACTAACCTGTGAAAGGCACTCTGCGTGAATTAAGTTGTTACTCTTTGATTTACGACTGCTCATTTCAGCAAATTCAAATCCTGTAAAAAATTAGCATAAATATTATAAACATAGTGACTTAAAGAGATTACTTAAGAATCTACTATTCTAGAATTAAAATAAATACAAGTTTTTAACTGTAAAAAATGATCAAACCTTAAGACCTTCCAAATCTTTAATGGCTTCATTTTGTCCAAGCACAGGCTTATTCAACACTCTCATACCACCCTTCAGGCACACCTGGTTTTATTGTGCTTGGCTTTCATGTGCTTTGCAGACAGTGTAATTTCTTTTTTTAAAGCAAACTGAAGGTTTGTAGCAACTCTGTGTCCAAGTTGATAGGCACCATTTTTCAAACACCATGTTTCCATCTTGTGTCTGCTGGCATTTTTTAGCAATAAGGTATTTTAAAATTAAGTATGTACATTTTTTTAGACAGTACTATTGCACACTTAATAGACTAGTATAGTGTAAATATAAATATATGCACTGAGAAAAGTCTTGTGTGATTCACTTTATTGTGATATTTGTTTCACTGCAGTGGTCTGGAACTGAACCTATAATACCTCCAAGCATGTATGTGGTTTTTAGAGCTACTCCCCTCTTTCCATTAAATCTTCTATTCACTTTCCCTTGCTTTCTTTTTCTTTTTCTAACTTATATGCTTTCTTTATGTCCCACCCATCCATCCCCAGGATAATTCCTTATAGAAAACCCTCCCTTTCTTGCTCCATTCACCAACCACACCAAAAAAAAAAAAAAAAAAATCATTAAAGACTAGGTTAAATGCCTCTGTTTAAACACTCATAAGTGCCTGTATTTCTCTTTATTATAGAATTATTTTAAACAAAATTATCTGATTGCTAGTGTTTCCAAATTGAGGATTTTTTTTATATTCTAAGCATTGTAGCATAATGCCCAAAATAAAGTTGGCAATGAATAACTGGAATGAAAAAATATATATACTAATGAAAAATATATAAATTTTGTAAAATTCTCCTCAAGGGTACCATACTCATAGAAAAATGCCTCTGAGTATAAGATCTAATTTTCTTAGCACTGATTTCCTATAGGAGTACTTTAACAGGCAATAACAGCCTAAGCAGTGTTTACTTAGGTATCAGGGATTGCTACAAATGCTTTGCATTTATCAACTCATTTAATCCTCAGAATTGCCCTATGGAATAACTACTATTATAATCCTCCCTTAAGATTAGAAGACACAGAAAGGCTAAGTATCTTGACCAAAATCGAAAAGCTTGTAAATGGAAGAGCTGGGATTTAGATCAAGTTAACTACTTTTTTTTTTTAAAAGTGTATTCTGATCTTATCTAATCTCCAGAAGGAACGCAGCTTTGCTGACACCCTGAATTTAGCCCAGTGAAAGCCATTTTGGAACTTTTTTTTTACCACCAGGACTCATAAAACTCAAGAAAACCTAATTTATCATCTAATCACCAATGATTGACATTATTATAATGTGAGAAAGAAGGCAGCAAAAGGAAATAGGAGGATCTTCAGCTTGTGGAGGCCCAAACAGCAACAATAATTTCACAGCCACCCCAGACAAAAGTGTCTTTTTGTTAGCCTTGAGATTCAGGCAGGAGTTTATGAAATCCCAGTGGGGCCCAAGACCTGGGAAAGTCAATTTGAGGGCAGATCTTTGTTCAAGTGACAGACTTCCCAACTGTGGTCCAGGCTCCAGACTTGGAAAGGGCCCTGTCCTCCAGAGGGCTTAGCTAGAACCTGACAGGACCTTGTTACCAGGGCCTATAGCAGGATGTGAACCCTATCTGGTCCCTTGGTAGACTGGACTTTTTCTAAGACCTAGGTCTGTACAGGAGATGAAGATATGCATAGAAAAGATCTGTTATCAGGTGTGTAGATGGTGTGGCTTTCTCTCTGAACCTGGGAGGGCTCCTACTGAATCACTGAGTAGATACCTGAGCAGGCAGTATTGTCCTAGTCCTCAGTCACCAAAAGTCCTCTGGCTCCAGGCTTCCTAATTGAAAATTAAATAATAGCATCCTCTTTCTTAGAAGAAAAGTGGTCTTCTTAGCTGCCTTAGGATACCTTTTAGCAGTCTTTTCTGTATAAAGTTTTATTTTATTCCATTTAAGTTTTTATTTTTCCTAATGAGTGTTATGAGAGGGAAAAAACCTTTTTAGCAACATAAAATATCCTCAACGCTGGTTTATGATGCTCTTCACCATCAGCCAAAATCTGAAATCACAAGGAACTATGTAATAATTGTCTCCTAGAAAATAAGGCTAATTAAAATGTAAAAAAGAGAAAAGGCTTTTGCAGTATGTTTTATTTTGTAGAACTATATTAGTTATCTTACAGTATTGTTAGAATTAAAAGATATTTTTATCCACTTCATGAATTAAGAAAGCATTACTCAGAAAAGCTAAATAAATGTCCACAGTTCCAAGGCAGGTATCTAATCTGCCTCTTTGTATCAAATATAAATCAGGTAAGCTATTAAGATCATTCATTTTTTCTTCATTTCGGGCTATCATTCATAAAAGAAACAGCAAACACTCCACTATTGTGTCTACCTTATAATCTACATAAATTTTGACCGTAAATAAAGTTTTAGTCCAAAGGTTATTTTGACATCTCGCTCTTTCATGTAATGGTCAAGTATCTACTACATAATAAATATTTCGAAGACAATTCTGACAGGACAGATGAGATAAGCTTCAGACATTTGCAAACTGCATATCTGACAAAAGATCTGTATCTAAAAAACATTCAAAACTCAATAATAAAAAAAGAAGCAATCAAATTAGAAAATTGGCAAATCACATAAGTAGACCTTTCACCAAAGAAGATATGCAAGTGGCAAATAAGCATATGGAAAGATGGCTTTAGTTTCCAGCATTGCTTAAAGATATATTTTCACTAAACTGAAAGAAAAATTTTTACTGGAATGACATTTCAAATGATACAGAAAATGAAAACATTTTGAAAAAGGATTAAATAAAATGTTTATTCTACATAGACTATAGTTAGTAAGACAATCTAGTAGCTACAAGTCAATGCCAGACCATCTCAATCGATGTAACCCAACTTTTCAGTGTTTACTTATTACGGGGCTCTGTGACAAGCACTATGGGGAAGATGACAAATATAAAATTTGGTATCTATCTTAAAAAAAACTTACAATAGGCCTGGCGTGGTGGCCCATGATTGTAATCCCAACACTTTGGGAGGCTGAGGCAGGTGGATCATGAGGTCAAAAGATCGAGACTATCCTGGCCAACATGGGGAAACCCTGTCTCCACTAAAAATACAAAAATTGGCTGGGTGTGGTGGCATGCACCTATAGTCACAGCTACATGGAAGGCTGAGGCAAGAGAATTGCTTGGACCTGGGAGGCGGAGGTATCAGTGAGCCAAGATCGTGCCACTGCACTCCAGTCTGGCAACAGAGCAAGATGCCATCTGGAAACAAAAGCAAAAACAAAAACAAAAACAAAACAACCTTACAATTTGTTGGAATAATATATAGGTGTATGTGTATGAGTACATATGTATCTCCCACAGATAAGGCAGGATCAGCATAAAGCAAAGGATAAACTCATAGGGTTAGTAAAGAAAAAGACCTTAAAAAAGAAAAAAAAAACAACAGTACTACCTATAGAAGTGGAAATGAACACATAGATTTTAAATGACCTGCCCAAGATGACACAGCTTACTTAATAGCAGTGGTAGCTGTTAGGTCTACTGATTCCCAATCAGGTTAGTTAGTCTCAAGTGGCATGAAAAAAAAAAAAAAAAACTGTGAATATCTGAAAAGTTATCAAAATAATCACTGGACTTTTCTTCAGGAGACAAAAAATAGCAGATGAATACATTCTGAAAGAACATGGTTAGTATACCAGATGTTCAAGACTGATAATTCACTTCTCTTTCAATGTTTATGTAAACAATCTGTATTTTTTGGTAGATGTTCTTATTTTTAAGATCATAAAGTTTCTTCCCAACACAAAAAGGAACACATGTTTAGTACAGAAACTCTGGAATTTCAATAAGGAATTGTGCAGATACAATGGTACAAAATGGAATCAGAGAATCTTTCTCCTCTATCTAATAAAGCAAAACAAAAAATTGTTAAACAGAAATATCTTAGTAGTACCTAAATAAAGAGAACAAAACAAGGCTAGAATTCTACAGGAGTTCTCCATGGCTCCTAACCTTAACCTCACTCTTAAAAGCTATATTGGCATGAATAAAATCTCCCAAATTCTCACCAATATATCAAATATGAAAAGAAGAAAATTGATAAAAATCCTAATCCAATTTTTTAGCCTTTTTAAGCCTAAAAAAAGAATTTGTTGGGCCTCCAAGCTGAAAACCACCTACAAGGGAGAAAAAAATGCTAAAATATGGTGTGATAATATGTATAAAGTTCTGAGAGAGAGACCAAGCAAAGATGCCACTCACATATAAAGGTAACAGGTATAGCCATATCAAATAAGAATGAATTTATTTAGTACACAGAGCAAATAGAGCGTTGAGTGGAAAATTAGCTGGGTATGGTGGCATGCGCCTGTAATCCCAGCTACTCAGGAGGCTGAGGCAGGAGAATCACTTGAACCTGGGAGGCGGAAACTGCAGTGTGCCAAGATTGTGCCACTGTACTCCAGCCTGGTGACAGAGTGAGACACCCTCTTTAACAAAAACAAAGACAAAAAAAAAGCCTTGTGTGGAGTGTGTTGTTGGGGAGGATACGGGGAACTCAATAACAAAATCCAGCCAATTAAAGCATAAATCAGAACACAATTTTACACACACACACACATATACACACACACACGAGCTTTGAATCCACTAAAATAAAGAACTAAAACCAAAAAATGGTAAATAATTATAGTATCAAAACAGGTGGAAATGTAAGTCTTTACAGAGTGAAAATAATCAACAAAATTGAAAAAAAAGGCATGAAAGCAGAAGATTACCAATTTCATTTTTCAGAGTAGAAAAATAATGTCTAAACTGAAAACATGAAGTACCTTGCACAGCTAGAAACTTTTTTTAACCTAAGACTGAGATCTTAAAAAAAAAATCTCTTGGGTTTAATAAATATCTGAAGTCCAGCAATTCCTATAATTTTTATTAGGTTAAAAATGTGGCATGCCTACACAGATATACACACACATACTTTCTAACCAAAATGGATTCTATTTCATAATATTTGTCACTTAAAAGAACATAAACTTCCTATATATATATATAATATAAATAAAATACATATGCACGCACAAAGTATATTTACATATATTTTAAATTATTTTTTCTATAGCTACCTTAAGGTGAAAAAACAAAAATAAGAATTAGTGAATCAAATTGTTTAAGAAAAAGAACCATGTACCTCAGCTGGATAATAAAAAATACTCTAGTATTATGAGCATCTTACTAGTAAGACGAGCAGGAGCTATTAACGCTGTGTACCAAAAAAAGCATTTACAAAAGAAAACAGGTGTGAACATGCCCTATTTATTTAGTTTCAAAGTTGTTCAAGGACAGGTCAAAGAGGCAAGAGATAAGTGATTTTTTCTATCTTGCATATCAATGGTCAGTAAGGTAGCTGGTACAAAATAACCCTCTAGAATACAAAAGTACTGTAAACTGTTTATCTAATAAATACTTGTCTAAAAATACGAAATAAATTAAGCTTAACTAACATTTAATATATAAGTTGAAATATCTTTACTTGGTCTCCGTACCAGCAGGTCAAGTCATGTTGCTAAGAGCAACTCAGAAGTCCTAAGGAAAGAATTCAAGATCAATAACAAGAAGGGGTTCCAAGTGGCATCATCACATACATATTCATTTACTTTCAGCTCATTAATACAATGTAGGTATGTAGATCCAGTTTGGAGACAATACTGAATCTAACTGACTTGCTTTTTTTTTTTGAGACAGAGTCTCAAAAAAATTGCACCTGTAATCCCAGCCAGGGTGATTATAGGCACTCTGGCTGTAATGCAGTGTTGCAGTCTTGGCTCACTCCAACCTCCACCTCCTGGGTTCAAGCAATTCTCCTGCCACTGTCTCTTGAGTATCTGGGATTACAGGTGTGTGCCACCATGCTCGGCTAATTTTGGTATTTTTAGTAGAGATGGGGGTTTCACCTTGTCGGCAGGCCGGTCTCAAACTCCTGACTTCAGGTGATCCACCCACCTCAGCCTCCCAAAGTGCTGGGATTATAGGCGTGAACCACCACGCCCAGCCTCACTTGCTGAATTTGAAGATTTTATTATTTTTTAAATGTAAGTGAAATAATTTCAGCCTGTTTCAACTGCCGCTCTTTCCATACACCACGTTCCAAGAACAACTAACTTATATCAAGTTTTTCTTAGTTTAGAAGAACTAAGCCGGGCGCGGTGGCTCACGCCTGTAATCCCAGCACTTTGGGAGGCCGAGGCGGGTGGATCACGAGGTCAGGAGATCGAGACCATCCTGGTCAACACGGTGAAACCCCGTCTCTACTAAAAAGACAAAAAACTAGCTGGGCATGGTGGCGCGTGCCTGTAATCCCAGCTACTCAGGAGGCTGAGGCAGGAGAATTGCCTGAACCCAGGAGGCGGAGGTTGCGGTGAGCCGAAATCGCGCCATTGCACTCCAGCCTGGGTAACACGAGTGAAACCCCGTCTCAAAAAAAAAAAAAAAAAAAAAAAGAAGAACTAACACATCAAGAGAAGATGAAAGTGGCTAACAATTCCTACAAAAACCTTGGTAAAATTGGTGAATGAGACTGAAAAATATAATTTAAAAACACACAAATGATCATGTATTATTTTCTTTAACAGCCTTATTTTGAGGCAAAACCGTACAGCTCCAGCAGATGGGGGCATTACTTTGTGAAGAGAACTCCTAGTAAATTAAAAAGATGTTTAATGCTGCTCTCTTTCCAGATGGTGGCAGAAGAAAACACCAAAAACAGTACCACCACCCTCTTCCCTTTATTAGAAAAAAGTTAAAATACAAATTCTAATACTGTTTACCTAGGACCTAACTCTATACAGCTAACATTTTTCAAAGAAGAATAAGCATGGACAAAAGGTCAGAACTTTGCTTCTCTTCAGTTAGATAAAATGTTCTTGATTTGCTAGCTAAACAGTCAAATAATATAAAATGAAAGGTATTAGGAGAAATTTGTAGGTGGTTTCCAGTTTTGTTAAGGTCCTTTGAGATGAAACTTAGGCAAGAAAAATACATTTAAGCTGTTTTTCAGCCCATCAGAATTAGTTTTCACTGTTTCTTTCCCCTCAGTTACATTGTTTGCACAGAGGTAAAAATTAAAATAGAGTTAAAAGAATGAGTGGGGATGAGGGAAATAAGGGACAATAGTGATATGAATTCCAATAAGTAAACTTAGTTCTTTCTAAAGAGATCAGCTTTTCTAGAGAAAAGATGAGGAAAAGGTACAATCCCAAAACATGTTTGATTAAGATCAGTACTTTGGGTAAGATCTGGAATGAAAAAGAGGGAATAAAACAGAAAAAAAAGGATGAGAACAGCCAGATTTCATCTGCCTTTTGGTTTATAATCTTCAACTCATGTCTTATTTTTCTACTTATGCATATAGTAAAATGTACAAAGTCATCCAGTCTCTTCAGCCAATACTCTAAATAGTATAAACAAAAAACAAGTTCACTTAATAACCAGTCGTTTAATTTGGGCTAGAATTCAATGAGAAAACCATTCCTACAAAGACTTGCAGTACTAGCATGGTTTAAATTAAACAGAAACCTTTAATCCACTTCATCAGAGGCCATGAGGC